GAAGTTGTTCAAGCATGCGGTGTGTGAAGCTGCTAAATGGCTTCTCTAGGACAGCCTACTCCCTATGGCACAACAATGCCCACGCATGGCAGAAGAAAATTCGCATGTGGCACAACAAAACCTGCCTCCGTGAGGAACGCCAGTCACTCACTCGCTAGGGAACAGATGTAAGCAGAGAGGGTTGTGATTAAAGAGCAATGACCTACGTTGAGCCGATCCCAGCAAAAGAGTTTTCAGATCTTCCACAAAAAGGGAGGAGACCAAAAAGGAATATCTCATCTTTCTTCACGATGAAGTCTCCCATGCCAGACGACCCTACCCAAATAACATTGCATTTTCACCCTTCGCAAGCCGCTTAGATTGCTGCAGTCAACTCATGTAGCTGCTGTTTATAGATGTAGTTTCAACTTTCTGAGACCGGGAGCTGTATGTGTCAAACACAACTGCGGTTCCCTTTCGGCCGGCAACAGGATTTGGTGAAGATCATGTTTATGAATATCCTGGTGCGGGTTCAACTTTAAGCTGGTTTGTTGGGGGCCAAACTAAGGCATAGCTTCACGAATCGATTTTCATAGTTAAACTCGGGCCTGCCCTGGTTGTGGCCAACGAGTCGCGAGGGATGGCACCACAAGCATGAAAAGCATCCGAAGTGTTTTGAATTGTGCCTACACTTGATTTATTGCTTTGGTCCTTCCTGGACTCAGTCATGTCCGGCGAACAATGTCACCCACCAATATTTTATTACCCATGTTAACAGGAAATAGCATCGTAGGATGTGTGGTTCCTGCCACATTCTTACGTCAAATTATCATGTGTTTCTTATTCCCTTGTTAATTGTCTGCTACCTTCTACCACGTTTTGGTTCATCATTTTGTGTCAAGAAACCTCTCGCAATGCACCATCATATTATCTGTCATTTTCATTGCAGTAATGTAAGCTGGAACAGCCTCACTGGTCAGCTCCCTCCAACAATAGGCAATCTCCCTCGTCTTTATGGCCTGTAAGGCGTCTTGGCATTTAACATAGTTTTACCATGGCAGATTTGAAGTGCTCCGCAAATTGGATGTATACATGTACCTAAGTGTAAGGATGAGCAAAAATTAAACACGAACGAGTTCGCGTCGAACACCTGTCAAATACTCTGTTGTATTCGGTTTGATTCAAACATCCATATCCTTGTTGATCCCGACCCCGCTGCCATCTACCGCCCTCACCACCCTCAGATTCGCCAACCCCCTCGTCCTCCTCCTCCCTCTCATCCTCGTCTTCCCTTCCTCCTTCCTCCGCCTCCAAGTCATCCACGTCCCACTTGTCCTCGTCATTCCCAACCCCAGCCCCACCACCTCATTGGCGGGATTCTACGCGGGCTCGCTTTCGTCCCCACTACCCAAGCCATTCGATTCCTCCTCACTCCCCCACTCCATGCTGTACTCCACATGCCCGTTGTCATCCTCCTCCTCAGCCCCACCCGCCCCTCCATCTAGAATGTAAAATCCAAGCACGGGCTGCTTCATAGGATGGCTCCTGCTCTCCTTGAAACTGACTGCTCACCCTAAAAGTATGAACCGAACCCGGGAGAAGCAACGATAGGCCTCGAATCTGGCCGGTGGTGGGTTAGTGGGAGAACCAGGCGGTTTATCCAAGGCAGGCCCCGATCAGGCCTCTCTCACAGCCCCATCACCAGGCTGGCCTACTGTGGTCATAAATCCCGAGTCTGCTAATATTCTGCCCTGATAATGGATATACTTTACCAGAAACGTTATGCCCCAAATTGCCTCTAAAACAGCCCTATAATAGCAGCATCAACATTACCCTCAGCTTAGAATGTTACTGGTGAGGGATAGGTGTGTTCTGAATAGTAGTGGTAGATACTATGGATTATACTTAGATCTGCAATTGGGAGGTGAAGTGACAGCCAACCCTAAGGTCGTATCCCTGGCAAGTGTCAAGAGTGGTTAGTGTCATGACACCAACTCGGAAAACACAGGGAGGACTAGTCCTCCTGGTGTAAGCTAAACCGGCCAATCTGATCGCGGGAAATCGCCCAATATGCCCAACATTGACACCAGGCTGGAGCCGCGTGCGGGTGCGGCTCCACCTAGTGTCGAGCGCGTTTTGCGTCTGACACCAACCCACTCTTCACACTAGCCAGGGATACGACCTAACACAATCCCGTTTTTTTATAGGTGAAATACGGGTTGCTGGCGAGGGGATTTTACTGGCCTCGGTTGTTGCGACCAACTTGCTGCACTGAAATCTTTGAATTCAACACAACACGGCACTGAGGTACCATAACTCACATAGCAATGCCATTTTTGGATTATCTCTGTGTATGTATGCACACAAATAGAGACACACACGCATACCCCCACACATATACACACGTGCGCGTGCACACACACATAGATACACACGCAAAAATTATCAATTCTCCCCTCTCTTTCTCTCCCAAATGTTTCCCAATCTTGCCGTGCAGGTGAATGAGATGGCCAGCAAGCACCACCCTAACCTGGTGTGCCTGTTGGGCTTCTGTGTGTACTTTGACCCAGCTACAACTCTCATGGAGCAAGTACTCGTGTACGAGTTCATGGCAAACTGGGACCTTGAGAGCTGGATTGGGCCAGGTACCTTAACTTTTCTCTATACCTGATAGTTTTTTATTGCAACAACCAACTCCCTTTCACTTGGAGCCTGCACATTTGGATAAAAAGTATGGGACTCCTCTTTCCATCAGCGAGTATTTGATAAAACCTCAACGTCCTGGTTTAAAAGGAACCAACCAACTTTGAGTATTTTGTTGAGATTTTCTCGCACAGATACCTCATTCAAGTGAATTACTATTCTTCTGGGATGGCTAAGTGACTTCTACTCTTTTTTTTGTAGTTGCTCCAAGACCCCTTTCATTGTTGCAACGACTCGACATTCTGACTGGAGTGGCAAAGGGGTTGCATTCCGACTGGAGTGGCAAAGGGGTTGCGTTCCGACTGGAGTGGCAAAGGGGTTGCGTTCCGACTGGAGTGGCAAAGGGGTTGCGTTCCGACTGGAGTGGCAAAGGGGTTGCGTTCCGACTGGAGTGGCAAAGGGGTTGCGTTCCGACTGGAGTGGCAAAGGGGTTGCGTTCCGACTGGAGTGGCAAAGGGGTTGCGTTCCGACTGGGGTGGCAAAGGGGTTGCGTTCCGACTGGAGTGGCAAAGGGGTTGCGTTCCGACTGGGGTGGCAAAGGGGTTGCGTTCCGACTGGGGTGGCAAAGGGGTTGCGTTCCGACTGGAGTGGCAAAGGGGTTGCGTTCCGACTGGGGTGGCAAAGGGGTTGCGTTCCGACTGGGGTGGCAAAGGGGTTGCGTTCCGACTGGGGTGGCAAAGGGGTTGCGTTCCGACTGGGGTGGCAAAGGGGTTGCGTTCCGACTGGGGTGGCAAAGGGGTTGCGTTCCGACTGGGGTGGCAAAGGGGTTGCGTTCCGACTGGGGTGGCAAAGGGGTTGCGTTCCGACTGGGGTGGCAAAGGGGTTGCATTCCGACTGGGGTGGCAAAGGGGTTGCATTCCGACTGGGGTGGCAAAGGGGTTGCATTCCGACTGGGGTGGCAAAGGGGTTGCATTCCGACTGGGGTGGCAAAGGGGTTGCATTCCGACTTGGGTGGCAAAGGGGTTGCATTCCGACTGGGGTGGCAAAGGGGTTGCATTCCGACTTGGGTGGCAAAGGGGTTGCATTCCGACTGGGGTGGCTAAGGGGTTGCATTCCGACTGGGGTGGCAAAGGGGTTGCATTCCGACTGGAGTGGCAAAGGGGTTGCATTCCGACTGGGGTGGCAAAGGGGTTGCATTCCGACTGGGGTGGCAAAGGGGTTGCATTCCGACTGGGGTGGCAAAGGGGTTGCATTCCGACTGGAGTGGCAAAGGGGTTGCATTCCGACTGGAGTGGCAAAGGGGTTGCATTCCGACTGGGGTGGCAAAGGGGTTGCATTCCGACTGGAGTGGCAAAGGGGTTGCATTCCGACTGGAGTGGCAAAGGGGTTGCATTCCGACTGGAGTGGCAAAGGGGTTGCATTCCGACTGGAGTGGCAAAGGGGTTGCATTCCGACTGGAGTGGCAAAGGGGTTGCATTCCGACTGGGGTGGCAGAGGGGTTGCATTCCGACTGGAGTGGCAAAGGGGTTGCATTCTGACTGGAGTGGCAGAGGGGTTGCATTCTGACTGGGGTGGCAAAGGGGTTGCATTCTGACTGGAGTGGCAAAGGGGTTGCATTCTGACTGGGGTGGCAAAGGGGTTGCATTCTGACTGGAGTGGCAAAGGTGAAGCATTATCTTCATGATTTTGGCATTGTGCATCGCGACATTAAGCCAGCCAACATTCTTCTTGATGCAAAAATGCATGTATGTTGAACTCCGAATTTTGCTTGCATTCTCTTTGACCAGAATATGGTTCTCCAGCTTATTACTAGCATGTTTCGACTCGGTGAAAACATTTTGGTGATATTCAGTATCTTCTTTCAGCCCACATCTACTTCTGATTGTTGATCAGGGCAAGGTTGCAGACTTTGTTCCTCACATGCAATCATCATTATGCATGATTTATATGAGTTTGTGTGTTCCTGTTTCCAGCATGTGATGAACCCTCTTGTTTTTGCCTCCATGCACTTGCAATTGCTGTTCAGTCCAAGATTGCAGACTAACTCACTGGGGGCACTGCCATGGGCACGTCAGTGGCTGCCACTCGAGTGATGGGAACACCAGGCTACATGGACCCTGCCTACTACAAGTCCCACAAGGCCACACCAGCTGCAGATGTGTATAGGTGAGCAGAGGGATGTCCCTTGTTTCGAGGGGATATATCTTCCGTGGTGCACATGGAATGCTTCATTCGATTGCCCCTCATCACCCTCGTTTCTGGTCCCCTTGTTTGTGTCACTATCTGTGTGTTGGCAGCTTTGGTGTGGTGATGCTGGTGGTCATCTCGGCACGCAAGGCTGTGCATGTGAGCGAGTCCAGCCAGATCAGCCTGAAGCAATGGGTGAGCCACATGTGCTTGATATAGAACGTGTCTCCTGATTTTATTATGCAACAACTGCATGACCAGTTTTCAAATCTCATATCATTAGCATGGCAATGAAACAAACAGGCAGGTGTAAATCCACATGGGTGTATTCCCTTCCAACCCAACAGATTGCCCCATTTGTGGAATCAGATGCCGTGCCAGTCTTCAAGGACCCTGGCTTGGACGCACCAGATGACTTGGTGCTGCGCTTGGCTCACCTTGCCCTCTCCTGCACCGCCATGCCTGTGGCCTCCCGCCCCTCCATGAACCAAGTGCTGGGGGAGCTGGTGAAGTTGAAGCAGGAGGCGTTCGGAGCACATGTGAGCGAGGCCATATCTCGCATCGACATGGAGATTGGGAGTTCCATCGGCTCCTCTGGCTTCACTGCTGAAATGGCCCGTGCAGAGCGCGATGGCATGCAGAGTGATTCCGCGGCGAGCATGCCATAGGTATACAGCACATGCAGGCTGCGGAGACAACCTATAGGGTGCTTGTTTTTTCAGACATCGTACATCCTTTCTTAACACATCGTGCTGGTGTTGGATTGTCGGGTTGTAGTAAACAACAAATAGAGTGTGAAATGGATGGAAACATGAGTGTGCAAAGAAGAGCTGCAAAATTTGGAGTGTAAAATGGATGGGAACAGGACTGAAGGGAAGAATGGAAAGGGTGACATGTTGAGGAACAAAGGCACTATAAAGAGTGGGCAAAGGTGTCCGGCCTGGATGACCTTGTTCAGAGCGCGAGGGCAGAGAGGGCATGAGCATGTCGTAGGCTTTCAAGCACCTTACAGGTTTCACTTATGAGCCAGATACAGATGGGGTGCATTGTACCGTTAACACATGGGAGTGTATGAAGTGATACAGTGTTTGGTAGGGATACTAATTGCATTTTAGGATTGATGCATATGTGAAATCAAAACTGGGATTCAAAGCACATTTGGAGCATCACTGTAAGCATCGGTTGGTCCATGAGCTTGGTTTAGATCCATGTCATCTGTGTTCGCTTTATTTATGCATGGGATGACGCATGAAATCTGGCTTTTAGTATTCTCTGCTGTCAACACTGATATGTTCAGAGGTTTTCCTTACCCTTGTTTTAAGTTGGTTGTTTCAGACCTGGTATTCTAGGAAACTGTGACAAACCGTGCGAACTCATTCATACTTGAAATGTGTCATCCCTCGGATAAGCCACTCTAGGGTCTTAATTCATATTCACTAGAAACAATGGTTATGCCTAACAGTAGAAAACAATACATCTACCAGGTTCCTTTCTATGACATACCGTACGCCCCCCTTCCTGGAGAGCTTTACGATCTCTGTATGCAATGAGTCCACTCTAGTGCTGCACGAGCTGCCACTTCACCGTCTCCCTGCTTCCTTCACCAGACTCGCATCTATGGAGTCATCTCTTCTGGTTGGGTGCGAGGGGATGGAGGAGCTACCTTCAGGGCTTGTCTGCCTCAGAGAAATCCAGACTCTGAGCCCGGCATGGTCGCGCACCCTGGACCTTCCAGGAGACTTGGGCGGCCTCACCAATCTCCAGAACTTTCATCTCACGGAAATCAGCCAAGCGCAGCTGCCGTCCTCATTCACGCAGCTGGCGTCGCTGACCAGGTTGGAGCTGTATCGGTGCGGTATTGTTGAGCTGCCAGTGGGCATGGGGGGGATGACAAACCTGCATGAGCCTTACTTTTAAAAGTGCCCTTTCTTCAAGGAGCTTCCGGAATTGTGACATTGCTTGTCAGCCTTGAAGTGCTAGTGATTGAAGAATGCCCTCATCTCTTGTCGGTACCCAGGAGGCTGGGCAGCCTTACCAGGCTCACGCACTTGGAGCTGAGGAGATGTTAGCTGAACGAAACCCCTCAGGCTCTATCTTAAAAGAACAATCAGCTAGGGGCGTCTCTGCCAGACATTTGAACACTCACAGAGCTGAGGGAACTGTGCTTGGGCACTGTGGGTGCAACCTGTCTTGAGGCTATATATGATTGTGACCATCTCTCTGGTGTGGAGCACCTGGAGCTGGTGCTGGGAGAAGACACTGAAGAGTCTGTCCCCGGTTACAAGGCTTCCCCACCTCTGCACCTTGACACTCAAGCACGTCCACAGTGTGAACAATCTGGTGGAATCTGAGGCATTTCTCGAGCTACGGCAGCTGAACTGAACATAGTCACCTGTTGCCTCACAGAGCTGCCTGCGGCCAACACCACTCTCCACAACCTGACACCCATTCGGATCCGTGCTCCGAAATGGGATAGCTGACGTTGAAACAAACCGGTGGCTGCATTGTGGCAGTGTAAGTGGTTGAAACGTGACGCTGGAACAAGACTGATGCTGGGAAATATGGGGAAACATGAAATATACGGTATGAGATTATGATCGATGAGGATTGAGGATGTCATACTATGAGAGGTGGTAGAGTAGAGGTAATGAGTGGCGGTGTCAGGGGGTTGGAATTAAGAGAGATTCTGGTACATGCACCCTTGAAAAACAACATTGTGCAAGGAAGGGGAGATAAGCAGGTGGGGGAAGAGGGTTTTGAGGGGAGAGCGGGGGAGGAAAGGAGGGGACACGGGGGAAGGGTTTGGGTGGGGAGAGGGCGAGAAGAAAGGGGAGGGGGAAGAAAGTTCGGGTGAGAGTTGCTTCCCTGGCAGTGCTGTAACTCAAAGAAGGGTAACTACGGATCACGAAAGATCTGGTTACCTCATTTTATGTGCTATTATGGGTATGTATTTTCACACAGTAACTCCCAGGCTGGTACGGCACTAGGGGCCTGTAGGGATTAGAGTTCAAGATTGGCAGGTGCTGGGATCAGCCAGCCAAAGCAGAAAAAAAAATGCAAATTGTCCTGCAAGCCAGCTGAGTCCGCGACAAGATTTTGTTCATGTTCCCTTCTTCCTTTTGCCTTCCTGCCATTCCCCGTTACTTTACCCAATCTCTCTCTTCATCTGAACCTCCTTCCCATGTTCTCGCCCTGATTTTCATCACTCCTGATTTCCTCCTCATTGTGCAGCATTGCCAGCATGCTGTGCCCTTCCAGCTGAAGCCACCTCATTTGGTCACAGTCTTTGGTTTGCCACATTCAGGCCTTGCCATATGCATATGCTCAAGACTATGTACATATGTGACCACACGATGCATCATCATCATGCATGACAATCATGATTCCATCAAGTTCTTGTATGGTCAAGCGCGTCCATGCATGCAGCACAGCATACATAAACACCATCTAGCATACATGAGTGGCGGTGCATCAAATTACTGTGCCCTGACCCCTTACATCTGGTTAGTACTCGGGTGAGGGGGAAAAGAACAAAAGAAGTTCCACGTATGACAGCCATAGCATCTTCTCTGCACTGTCCAAACCATTCCAATCCCCAATGCCCTCTTTGCAATCTTGCTTCATGCAGCCCTCCTTCTCTTCTTCACCCCTCTATACTTGCTCCTTTTCTACCAGCATCCGTCTTAACTTCATGGGTCTCATGGGCCTCATGGGCTGGAGAAACTGAATACGCACAGTTATGAGAACAGTTAAAACCCCTCAACACCCCAACTCCTCTCATCTTCCACCCTCCTCTCATCTTCCCACTCCTCTTTTATCCCTCACGACTCTCATAGCCCCCACTCATCTCTTAACCCCCACTTCCTTCATGCCCCCCACCCCTCTCATACCCCCACCCCCACCCCCTCCTCCCCCAATTCACTCTCCTCATACCCATCACTCCTCTCATGCCTCCCACTCTTCTCAAACTCCCCACTCCTCTCATACCTCTCATAACCCCCATTCCTCTCATATCCCCCATACTCTAAGTGCCCACCACTCCCCTCACACCCCCCATTCCCCTCACACGCCCCAATCCCCTCATACCCCGCACTCCTGTCATACCACCTACTCCTCTCATACCCCGCACTCCTGTCATACCACCTACTCCTCTCATATCCCCACTCCACTCGTACCCCCCCATTCCTGTCATTTCCACCAAATCATTCATGGTCCCACTCTTGTCACTCCTGGTTTTGTCGTTCACCATCAGCATCAAGCCTCTCCTCCACAATGCCTCCAACTCCCATTGTTTCGTCTGCTCCTTCCCTGTGCTTCTGCATTTTCCACCCCAATCATGCCTTTTCATCCCACCCATGCCTTTTCATCCCACCCATGCCTTTTCATCCCACCCATGCCTTTTCATCCCACCCATGCCTTTTCATCCCACCCATGCCTTTTCATCCCACCCATGCCTTTTCATCCCACCCATGCCTTTTCATCCCACCCATGCCTTTTCATCCCACCCATGCCTTTTCATCCCACCCATGCCTTTTCATCCCACCCATGTCCACCCATGCCCTTTCAACCCACTCAGGCCTTTTCAACCCACTCAGGCCTTTTCAACCCACTCAGGCCTTTTCAACCCACCCAGACAGGCCTCTGCATTGTCAGGCCAACACCTGTGCTGCTCCCTGTACTGTGGTTAGGTTCAAGCTGAGGAATGTGTATAATGGATGCAACATGCTTGTGCAATGCTTGTATAGGCCATTGCAAGTCTATATGCTTGATATACATTTGTGTTGTGAAGTTTGTTTCGTTTCTTTCTTTGGCAAATCCCCTGGTCTGACTCCCACCAGCACGGTTCACACAAAGCTGTGCCTCTGCCAAACAATCTGTCGGAAAATCTTCTGTGTCATATGGAACTGTGCAATAAAATGTGCGTGTGCTATGTAGAGCAGAGCCAGGCTACAAAATAACTTGTTTCGGAACAGTGATATGCAAGGTCCCGTATAGCGCAGTAGAGATGGACCAGGGTTGGATGGAAGCTCGAGTTGTACTGTGTTGTGATCGTGCCATACCTATAGCCATTGCCAGTTGGAAGCTAATGAACATGCAAGTACTGGTATTGTTTGGAATAATTTAGAATACTTGGCGCAAATGTTGGTGCTGTGCCGGTGGACATGTGGGCCAAACATAGCTCCTTGGGACAGGAGGTTGACCAAGACACAAGTTGAGTTCGTAGTGGAACTGACAACCAGCATGTGCAACTTGAAAGGAAATTGGTGGTGTCATGTCAAATGGTGACATGTGGTAGCATCCACAGGCAAGAAAGAAGGGACCGTGCCGCCACTCTTTGGAGACACTCCTGTGCATCAGTGGACTGCTGCTTAGCGGGATGCACTCGAGCATGACTTGGCCTCTCCCAAGTGGCGAGATCTCGTTGAGAGATGGGAGCTCCTTGCTGTTGCGAAGGGCGAGGATGATGATGAAGGCCCAGAAGAGGCAGAGCACACTGCCGGAGAAGCTACCTTATGCTGGAGCCGAGAAAGAGGCAGTGTGATGTGAGTAGTGAACTTGGCCTTGCACCAACAGAAGGAGGGGTTATGGAAGGAAGGGCAGGCAGGCAGTGCAGGAAAGAGCAGGAAAGAAGGCATGGAAGGCAAGGAAGAGTAAAGCTGAGTAGAGG